AAATGCAGCTTTGCCTACACATGGAAAAAAATTACACTTTAAAATTTACAGTTATCTCAGTTATTTTAAACTGTAATATTTCACAATATTACTTTTTTTAATGTTTTTGATCAAATGAAAATGAACTTTGGGGAAGACGAGACTTCTTTCAAAAACAAGCAAAATGCAATCAATGCTGTTCTTCTGAAACATATATAAACCTCTTATTTGGACTGACTGATCAAAAAGCACATCTTTGAAAGTGAAAAAACACACTTTCTCAACCACACTAGGTACCACATATGGGGCCAGGAACACCTGAAAGCATTTAACACACACACACTAATTGCTTTTAGCTCTGCGTGAATGAGACTGCTTGTCTGCAGTGCTGTACAGGGGAGTTGAGAGTTGACACTATGCAAGTCTGTTATAAACTCACAACATATCCCCTTACAATAACACATTATCCCCATCACAGTCACACACACCTTAAAAAGCTTACACAACTAACACATAGTGCCCCTCTTTTATAATGAGGTCACAGAGAAGGATTGTGCGACTCTCTCGTTCACCCCACCCACTGTGATTATACAGCTGAGCCAGCACACGATGAAGAGAGCTTCAGATTCACAATGGACTCCTGTCCAGGGATCAACACCTCTCAAACATCAACTCCTGTAGCCTAGGGTTTAAAGATTTGGCCAAGTAATAAAAAGGTTGAAGGTTTGAACCTTGCAAGGAGTGACACAGGTTTCTCCAACAGAATTGCTCCTGTCAGTTTGTAAAAATGTATCGGCTAAATGATTCAGTGAAGTACTATAGACAAAAGACATGTAGATAAGAAACTGGATTGATGATGATCAAGATGTGTTGGAGTCCTTGATCATGCACATATGGATTAAATTGTATAGCTTGGATGCACTGCAAGTGGCTTTGCATAAAATAGTCTGCCAAATACATGTAAATGTAATTTAAGTAACTTCAACGGAAATTCAGGCTAAGGGAGCTGTAAATAATTACTCAAGGTGGAAAAAGAATGTTACAGTAGTGTAATGTTTTCTTAGTAATAATCTAAGGAAGTTAATGAAGGGAATAAACTTTAACAGCCATTTCATCACAAATCTTATGGCTTAAAGAAAGTGTTTTCTTTTGGTTTCTGTCGCAGTGACTAGAAATAATAAATAGCCATTTAGGTTAAACCCCCAGAAATCTGAAACAGGAAAAAATTTGATTAAAGAGATAGTCCACCCCAAAAAATTAGCATTCTGTAATCATTTATGCAAGGGTTAAGAGGGAGTAAGTGACATTTTGAATACTGTTTCAGTGTTTTTTGTTTTGCCCTTTTTTCTCCATCCAATGAATGACAGTGGGGTCCAGTGTTGTTTTGGACCCCACTGATTTTCACTGTGTAAACAACAACAGTTGAAACATTCTTCAAAATATCCAAGTTATTCAGGTTTGTGTCTCTTTAAGACACAACAACTGTACCAACTTCCAGAAAGAGGCAATTTCACAAGACTAAGGTAAAAAACAACTGAAAACACAAACTGTACCATACCATTTGAACGCAAGTTAGACTTTGTTAAACTTTCTGTTCCTGTTTTCTATCATTTTATAAACAATGTAAACTAAGTTATGAGAGACGCTGTCTATAATGCAGAAGCTTGGACAACCAGAATAGTTTCTAGAGGAGTTTTCTCTCATGCACAGGTAAAGTCTTTAATAAATGAGTTTTGTCCTTTGGCACCCAGAGAGAATTGAAAGGACAGATCCTGAAGGTACAGTGAAAGAATAGAACTTCATAAGTTAAACCAAGAGTGACAGGACATCAGAAAAAAAAAACGAAAAAAAGAAATATGAAGAAAGAAATATGGAATAAAATGAAAATCGTTCTGTCAGACTCACATAAAGTGGCACCTCTCCCCTGCTGAGCTCCATTACAGCAGCAGCACCTAAAAGGCGAAAACACACATGTATAAAACACAGAAAAGACACACACCCACAGATAAACCACCTTAAACCAAACACATCCAGAAAAAAGTACAAATGAGCAGAACAGCCCGTCACATGTGAGTGCTGCACAATATATTGAGACCAGTTGCAAAACTCATAGAACAAACGTCTATTCACCACAAAAACTAAACATGACATTTAACTGAACGCTGGCACAGAGATCGAAAGAAAATATCATACACAAGCAACACAAAAGCCACGAGAAATACTATTTGACATCGCTGACAGTGTCCATTATTGCCAGTCATAAACAAATATGAAAAAAGGGCATCACAATGAAACCTCAATGTCTTTTTGTCCGTCCTTTCATTTCGCTGACTCAGAGTCACCTGACTTCTATTTTAATTAGGCCAAATCCTCAGAGAGGGATGAGAACAAAAACCTTGCTTTTAATTGGGACATGTTCACATGGCTGTGCGGACAACAGAGGGCTTAATCTTTTGATCCTCCAAATGTCAGAACACAGCGTTCATAAAAACGCAGCCCTCTCTCTGTCTCACTTTCTCTCGGCATAAGCACCACTGCCATGTTCTCTCTTGCAATCAACAGGTAGGAGAGCCGGGTCTAATGTAAACAAGAACTATGATTGGTGAAACTGTGCTTTTATTCCTTGAGTAAACTCAACCCTCT